GCAAGTTGAAAAATTCATCTCAGCATTTACCAGGGTGCAGATCAGCTGCATTTCAGAAAGTTGGATTTAACGCAGTCCAATCTACGCTTCTAAGAAGGAACGTACCAAATTCCCATTTATTGCTGTAGAGAGCATTTCGACTAGAGAACACCGATCATCTGCCCAATTAGGCAAACGAGAGTGTCAACAAATAAGGTGGTTTCTAAATAGGTTCCGCCAGTTACGGAAGTAGACTGACAAGGATGACCTAAGGCTGGTAAGAAAAGGAATGAGAAGTTTCTTTACAAGACTTCGTGCATCGTTACTACGTATGAATTGTAAAATGGATATTTAATAGAGGGCGGCCAGTTTCATTCGATCGATATCGAATGACAAACGATAGCAGCAATCAGAAAGTAGACGTTTGAAGGTGAAAATGCAGCCCTGGTATGCGTCCTAGTATTCCATTGTTTCGGCAGTGTTCTGTGCACACACAACTTCTACGAGTCTGGTGGGCTAATAAGCAACTTTAAGAGATACGAACTCATAGAAAGCAAGTTGATTAGCCAGCATTGTAGCAATAAACGCGGATGCAAAAGAATCTTGTTTCTCATGTTTTCATATGAGGTGGGGAACAACGAAAAGCATCGTCTAGGCTGCCGAACCGAAATCATAAGGATAAACCTGATGATAATTAAATCGCGTAATAATAAATATGCCAACTAAATGTTACAACATTTTTACTAGGCCGAAAGAGATGCTTAGATAAACCACTAAAAGTTTAAACACTGAATCGCAATGCAAAACTTTGTGTGAATATAAACAATATTGTAATAAAACGGATTTTGTGGGTTGTTTTCAGGTGCATATACACAAAAATTATGTGTATCCTATTCTGCAAACAGTATACATTCACATTTATTAGGAATAAAAGTAATACGTACGCCCCGAGTACGATGTTCCGATCAGTGAAAGTTCTACCTAGGACAAAGGTCTTCAGGACGCAACTAATTCAAATACGTGGCGTCAAATACAACCATTAAAAAGGATTCGAGCCATTTACACAGAGTTACAGTTCACAGTTCCGATTTTCCGTTCTAAAGCTTGGGTTCAACCGGAAACGGACGTCAATTGTAGATCACTATTCAAGGACATGTAAGCTATCCCAGACATTTAAAATTTGGCGACCGAAAATATTATAAATTATTAACCGGCAAGACTATGCGCTCGATATACGCGTCAGCACGAAAGTTGTGGAAAATTTTTTTTCTGTAAAGAAAATTTGCAACCGTCCTTGACAGAAAAAACTCTTTTTTTAATATTTTCGTTGATTTGTTTCTGTTCTTCAGTACCTCAGATTGCTCTAACTTATGAGTGTCACTGTCTATGTCTTATCTCTGGTTATCTCAGCAAACTATTTTCTAGCTTTCCTAAATATTTTCTCTTTGAAGTCTCTTATGCTATCTCCACAGCTCAACGGAACACACTGTTCCTTAGTCAACTGAGTAAAACCTCTACACTCATAAATGTTCTTCTTTAGATTTGCTGATCATCAAAGTTTTAGCCTTAGTTCAACACCCAAATATCTTACATGAATTAAGTATGATGTGCCGAGGTCTTTGATTTCCAGGTACACCACATACTTTTACTTCTAATTTTTTACTGCCTAGCAATCAAGTAGAGCTAAAATTGAGTAGGTCTTCGAACACGCTGAACCGCGAATACCCGACTTATTCGAACTTTTAAGTACTACTAGATACGAATCCAAATTCTGAATGATTTGTTTATTCTGGTAGACCGCTTGGAATTTAATGTCATCTGTATGCATGACGTGTAGGTGACCTTTATTGTAGCGACGTAAGGTTCGATAAAGCGGAAGATTGTTGGATTCCAGGTGTCGATAGCATCAATATCTCTTTTAAACACGCCCAAGTTCCACACACAAATCGGACACAATTATTGGCCTGTTATCTATCGTTCGCAGTGTATGGATAGGAAGAGAATATAGTATATAATTGCCGGGAGTAAACGTTTATTACAAAATAGTATGGAGAATATATGACGATATAGAAATGTTAGTAAACGTGACCTAGATAAACGAACGATAGTGTCGGGAGTGTGTAGAAGTACAAAGTGGTAGACCGGAAAACAGCGAGTGGTATAAAAATAACGGTAAAAATGATTGTCAGAATGGAGATAGAACGTTAAAATCTAACAAAACTGTGACAAACGGAACGAGACGATGTACGGTGGAAGGTGCGAGTCGTGATATCCGGTTTCGATTCTGGAAAGAGTGAAAAAAGGGGGTGACGATTAAAACAAGCCGCGATTAGATGGTTCGGG